GCCGGAGCCCCGTCAGCCAGGAGCCCGCTGGGACTCCGGCCAAACGGGTCACGGGCGCGCCCGGGGGGAACAAGTCCGTACGCCAAAGGATCGCGGATGAGCTGAGGCATTACTGCAGCGGGTTCCACCTGCTCTGGATCGACACCAAGGTGGCTGCCAGGATGGTGTGGAGGCTGTTACACGGGCAGGTCCTCACTAGGAGGGAGAGACGAAGGGTAAGTGCCAGACATGCAGACACCTTGCTAAAGCAGTGCACCAAGAGGCTTACTGTAATGGAAGAGGTTTAACCCCTCAGTTCCCACACTCCTGTGGAAGACGTGTTTTTGGCGCCTGGCTGACCGATAGTTTTCCTGTGCCCTTCTCTGTGCAGCTGCTGAGAACTTGCGCAGATCTCTTCCGGCTGGTGCCCTTCCTGGTGTTTATCATTGTCCCCTTCATGGAATTTCTGTTGCCTGTGTTCTTGAAGCTCTTTCCCGAAATGCTGCCCTCGACGTTTGAGACGGAGTCAAAAAAGGTTTGTGTCCTTTCTGACGACGTAGGCCGTGTACTCCAGCGCGGTAGAACATCTGTACGGCTGCGTAAAGAGCCCGTGTTTCCTGCCTGCGGCTGTGAGCGAGCCTCAGCCTCACACGTCTAGGTCGGGCATTCCCAGCTTGTTCCTGTACAGGGCAGCGGAACCACTTGAAGGTTGTGCTGTAAACAGTGATCAGTGGGAACGTGCACAGCAGTTGCATTTCCTACAGTCACCAGAACCCGTTTGCTTTCAGTGCTGAGCCTCGTTTCACCTCTTTCCCAGAGTCCCCTCCCTTTTGATTTTCACGTGGAATTTCTGATTATGTTTTATTCCCTAAATGAAGGAGGAAAAGCAGAAAAAGAAATTGAACGCAAAGCTGGAGTTAGCAAAGTTCCTGCAGGAGACCATTGCAGAGATGGCCAAAAGGAACAAAGCAGATACAGGACAAGGGAAACAATTCTCCTCTTACGTGCACCAGGTAACACGGGCTGGGCTGGGGATGGCAGCAATAGTGCTTACGCCAGCTTTAGTGCTGTGGCCTCGGGCAGAGAATATGGGGTTTGTACAAAGATTGCAGAGGTTTGGCAGCCTAGAGCTGTCCCATCGGGTGTGACTTAACTGGAGACGCTCTTGCAGCATCTGTCAGAGCCAGCAGCACAGCCAAGCATTTCCATCCTGCCACAACAGTGAAAGTTTCACCCTGTGAAATCCTTTAAGTGGCCGCTCAAGGACACTGATTCACTTTGGCCTTTGCACTGTCACCAGTCTGTTTCCGCCGAGAGACAGGAATACCAGTGTGGGAAACGGGAGGGACTTCTTCCTTAGAGGGGGAAGAGGATCCACAGACTGACCCTGTTTTAGTTTGGCTTTTGGCCCTGATGCCTCTGCTTTGTGCAGATCCGTCACACCGGCCATCAGCCCAGCACCCAGGAGATCGTGCGCTTCTCCAAGCTCTTCGAGGACGAGCTGACCCTGGAGCACCTGGAGCGGCCGCAGTTGGTGGCTCTCTGCAAACTGCTGGAGCTGCAGCCCATCGGCACCAACAACCTGCTCCGCTTCCAGCTTCTGCTGAGGCTCAGGACGATCAAGGCAGACGACGAGGTAAGTTGAAGACCGCGCAGATGGGACAGCTTTGGTGGAACGCCGGCTTTTGGCAGCCTCGAGTGCTGAGTCACGGCCTGCGTGACGGAAGGCGGGGGTCCCTGCCCGGGCTGCCCCCTCAGATGTGGCGTTTAACGGTGGTGGGAGTTGGATTCTCCCCCTGAGAGATTCCAGGACAATACCAGCACGAGAGTTCATCTTCCTGCACCCTTGCTGCCTTTGGTGCACCCTGACCCGTGTGCCGCTGCAGGTATTGTCACTGTTCGGAAGCTGTCGGGTTTTTATCCTGGAGTCACGCTGACTTGTGAAAAAGGGAGGTTCCAGTTCTGGGGTAAATATTGTGTGGGAACACCAGATTTTAAACAACTGAATTCAGTGTGAGTTTATACCAGTGGATAAAGTGGCTGGATTTGTTTAGCCTGGAGAAGGGCAAGGGACAACCTGCCTGCTGTTGGCAGCTGCCTCATGGGGTTATCCAGAAAGTGGAACTGGGCTTACAGGTGCGTAGTGAAAGGACAGCGGGTGATGGGCATCAGTTGCAGCAAGGGAAATGACAACTTGGTAAGAAAAAAAAATTAAAATCCGTGAGTGGCTGAACAGTGGAACAGGTTGTCTAGAGGCTGTGAAATCCCCATCCCTGGAGTGGCTCGAAGCGTAAGCAGAAAAGACGGAGCAACATAACAACACTTTGGAGTTAACCAGCCCTCTTGAACAGGAGGTTGGACTGGGGACCTCCAGAAGTCCCTTCCAGCCCACATTCTGTGATGGTGTAGGATCTGTCATTTGAAATGCTGTGAAGAATCCTGTTACGACACGAACACCCAGAAAACTTCTCGCTAGCGAGAGGCGAGCAGCTCCGAAAGGCCTGTGCAGCTCCTGCAGGTTCAGCTCAAGGCCTGCCCGTGAGCGAGTTCTTCAGACCTGTGGGATCACGTGTCAAAGGAAATTCTCAGTACTTGGGGGGAAACCAAAATAATCACAACTGAAGTTTTTCGTCCTCCGTAGCCAGAGACTGTCAGCTTTCAAGGACAGAGGGAATCAGCCACAAAGTTGGTTCTGTCCCGTCTTTGACTTTGTGCCCAGTTACCCACCGGCGCTTCTCGGGGCTCGAGCTCACCGCGTGCGTCAGGTTTTGGCGTGCGCTGTGCCTGGGTAGGAGCGTTGCTTTTCATTTCAGATGATCGCCAAGGAAGGAGTCAGCGGGCTGAGCGTGTCCGAACTGCAGAGCGCCTGCAGAGCCAGGGGAATGCGGTCGCTGGGCCTCTCGGAGGAGCAGCTGAAGGAGCAGCTCAGGCAGGCGAGTAACTCTGGTCTGGCCTTGTTGGAGGAGGTTTCTCCCAGGACAGCGTGTCGTGCAGCGCAGACAGAGCAGGCACGGGTTCACTCGGTTCACACCAGCGTTCCTGGATGGTGCTCCCCTGCACGGCTGAGCTTTAAGGCGTGAAGTATCAGATTAGACTGAAGAGAAACCCGAGCAGCATCAGGGTCAGCTAGAAGCAAGATGAAGTGCGGGGCAGGGCTGGGCGTGTGTTTGAAGCTTCTAAAGTAGCCAAGTTGTCGTAGAGCCAGCGCTGGTCTTTTATGAGCCTTCAGACAGGTCACAGACACTGCCGTGGTGCTGCCTTGCAGAGAAGCTGTGGGTAGTTCCAAGTACTTGGCGTTCGCTGTTGGCTGTTTGTCAGTAGTGATGTTGGTACCTCACTAGTAGCTGGAAACTTCTTCCCCAGTGTGTATCCCATACGGTGCTCTTAACTCTTCAAAACTATTCCTGCCCCTTGTGGTAACTTAAACCTGTATCAGCCAAACTCGCGATAGCTGCGAGCTCTGTAAGGACAGAGTGCTGGATACCTAAGTACTGACGTGGGGCCGACGGGAAATAACTGTTCCTCCTCTTTTCTTCTAACAGTGGCTGGATCTGCATTTGAAGGAGAACGTTCCACCTTCTCTGCTCCTGCTTTCCCGTGCCTTGTACTTAATAGATATAAAGCCACAAGCTGTTCCGGTGCCACAAAATAAGGTGAGTGGTTTGAGTAAAACTTCCAGGTTAATAGTTTAACCAGGACACATTATAAGATGAAGCACTGTGACATGTATCTTGTTCTTTGATCCTCTAAGTGGGCTGAAGTGGTAACTGTGCTGAACTGTGTGTCCTCCTGCAGGTGGGTGAAACTGCTGGAATCGTGACGTCTGCTCTTGGAGGTCAAGAGGCTCTAGTGGATCCCGCCCCCGTGGTGCGGGGAAGGAAGGTGAGAAAATAGCACCCTGCGAGTAGGAAAACGCGTGTGTGGCGCTGGGAAGAGCCCGTGACAGATCTTCCCAAAGCCAGACGAACCCGCGGCGCGACACCTTGCACAGAGCACAGGAGCAGTGCGTGTCCTTGGTCGCGTGCCTCAGCCGCGCGCTCTGACTGAGGAGGCGATGCAGAGGTGCAGAGATCCGCTGCGGCACGGCTCGTCCTAGGGCTGGAGACGGCTGGTTCTTCCATGCCGGGGTACTGGCTTCCAGCAGAGGAGCACTCACAAGCTTCTCAGCTGCTTTGTTCACATAAATACAGAGACTTCAGTCCAGGTACGCGTAGCTCAGAGAAGCCAGTTAAAGGTGGCTCGTTTTCAGTCCTCCAAGTGAACTTGGGCTGAGTCATCCAAGACAAAGAGCCAAAATACCTGGAGTAAGAAAGCCAGAGCATATGGTTCTCAGCGTAAGGCTGAAATGAATTCCTCAGATTAGCCCAGGCTGGTAAAAGCAGCAAATGAAAGGAGGATGTTGTGCCAACTGCTGGAAATATTTCCCAATCGCTCTGGTAAGTCTGTAGGGGAAGCAGTGGAGGTGTCGACACGGAGCTTACACACACGCATTGCAGGGAGCAGCCTTGCTCGGGAAGGGGAAGGGCCTGTATGGGCTCTAGCGAGGGCGTTGTTTTCTGAGAGGGTTCTGGGACTTCAAGCTGCTCTTTCCTTAAAGAATGAAGAGTTTGTGTCTCAGCCGACAGAGAAAGCGCCAGTCGCAGAAGCGGCCGTTCAGCCGCCCCCACGACAGGTAAGCTTTTCAGAATCCTTAGACTTTCCAAGGGAGGTTGTTCTTCACACAGCTCGTAGACAAACTGTGGGAATTTGTGCCACAAGACGTTGTGAGCGTTAAGTTCAAGGAGCTACTGGAGAAATTGTGGATGAGAACCGCAGTGAAGGCTGTTAAATACAAAAATATCACGTGTGGCCAAGAGACTGCAGTCAGGTTGGGGGGGGCAGCAGAGCACTGTGGGGAATTGCCCGGAGAACGCTCCTTTACCCTGAAGAACTTTGTTCTTAGCAGCTCTTACTCTGCAGAGCAGCTTCCCATAGTAAATGGGAAGATTCCTTTTTCAAGAAAGGTTTTGGATTTCAAGAAGCATTTGTGCGGGCACTGCCTAAACCCTGCGCCTTCCTCTTACACCTAGGCTCGGATGGAAGCGCCTCAGAGCAGCAAGGCCGGCGCCAATGGAGCCTAGCCTGAAGCCAGCAAGGACTAACACTGGGAGAGAGGAGCTTTCACCTCTGCACCTCCTTGAAAGGGAAGAGCGATTTCCCAGGACGCTGCTTTGCCCAAAAAGGTGTCGGTGCCCCTCAGGGGCCCCTCTGTCTATTCCAAGCTTGTGAGGAACCGGGCCGTGCCAAGGCTGTCTGCGTGGCACCGGCATCTCTTGTACTGGATCCCCTGCCCCACCATTTCAGCTTGCTGCTGTCTGTGCTGTCGCTGGAGCGGCGTTGGTGCTCCGACCCCCTGGGAAAGGCAGCTTTTCGTGGTCAGGGAGCTGGGCTGGAAGCCCGGTAATGCCTGTTCTGCGGTTTGAAGTCCTCTGTGAGAACTTACCCCCACACCCAGGGCTTGCAGCTCGTCCTGCTGCTGCAGCTTTACGGGCTCGAGCTCTTGATCCCAGTTAACGTGGTTTAACCGATAACCAGCGCACGGAGTGACCCCTGTAGCCATGGTATTTCAGTCACGTTTGTACCCAGGGGAGTAACCGCAGCAGCGGGGGACCAGCGCTCTCCTCAGTGGTGCTGTGGCTGAAGTTAACAGTTCAGAAAGACTTCAGAACTTGCTGGGCGAGAGCAGAGCTGTGGGGAGGACAGCTTCTACCACGTGAGCATTTGCGTTCGTCAGCAAGAGCTGCAGCAGGTGCCGGGCGCTGTCACACAAGGCAGAGATTTGTATTTTTTTAGGATCCCAGTGGGTCATGGGAGGTAGTAACCTGGGGACCCGCACACGTTTCCCAAGTCCGATGTAAGGCTTGGTTAAACCTTATCAGGCTCAGAACTGCACATCAGCAAGCACTCTCAGACTTACTGTGCTCTACAGAACGATTCTTCACGCACTCCAGTGCTGACTGTTACTTTGGTAGACTCCATAGGAGGATTCTGAAAAGCTGGTTTTAGCGTTTGTTAATTTTTTTACTTGGTCCTATGTAAAACTTGTCCTGCATCCTGCCTGGAAATTACTCACAGTACGGATTTTAAATATGTATATTTATACTTCCTGTAAAATTAAGGTTAGGCTTGGTGCTAAGTAGAAGGAAATTTCTTTTCTAGAGGTCAGGCAGCCTTTAGAACAATCAGACAGAAAAAAAGCCAGTCATCCCACGGTCAGGTGTTCCCAGCACTTTAACCATGTGATTCAGGCTCTCAGGAGCAGCAGGAACAGCTTGTGGAAGGCGGCTGCCGGGGGCTGTGCTCTCCGCTCTGGACCTGCATCCCGCCTTGCGACTGCGGCCAGGGTGCGACGCTGAACGCCTGTATTTTGTTGGTGGTTAGTGAGAACAAACGTTATTTCAATAAAATAACCCCATTGCTCAAGTGTCACTCCTGCCTCTGCGTAGCACGGACGAGGTGTTGCTGGTAGCCATTACTTGCTGGCCACGACGGAAGAGCCCTTGGCCGCTTGTCTCCTTGATATCACTGAGCGTTGCTGTTCTTCGAACAGGTCTGTGACCCAGCACCCGCAGAGCCAGCTCCCTCGAGAGAAGCGTTTCACCCCTGGCAGAGCCGAGCACGAGTGATGCTCGGTGCCAGATTGCTGAGCAATCCGAGATTAGCGTGCAGAAGTCAAAGGATGCAGGTAATTCCTGTGTTTTGGCTAAAAACATGTAAATAGCGAGAGGGAATTCCTGAGTTCGAGGTAAGTGAGAAGAGCTGTGCAAGGGAAAACTCTCCTGGTTTAAAGCACACGACCTGGGCTTGCAGGGCCAGCCTGGGTCACCGAACCCCACCAAAGCAAGGCCGTCCCAGGCAGGAGGAAAGTTGGCCTCGTTGATGAGGTGAGCAGAGCTCAGGGGGTGGGATGTCTTGAAGGGCAAAAGCAAAGAAGCAGCAGTGAGAGAACCTCGAGTAAGCCGTTGCTGGGG